CTGATCGGAAGCTGTCTGATTGTCCAAGAAACGAACGTGTTGTTGTTGGAATGAATTCCATAAAGTGCCGATTTTTTGATGGAACTTCATTTTCACCATTTTTTTTCGTTTTTGTCACTCGTTTTTGTTGATTTTGATTTTCTAATTTTTCATCGCAGTTTCGTCAAATATTTTGGTACTCTTTTTGTTCATTATGCTGATTTCAAAACGCATAAAGACCTCTCACAATCAACTGTATTGGTGTATTCGGTGTGTTATTTATTCATTGATTTATTATTTGTTACTCTCAAATCTTTTTTTCAGGGTAATATTTAACACGTTGTGTGTGGTATTTCGTCATCGTGCATCCATAGTTCTTGGTCCGAAAATATTTTCAATTGATTCAACTTTTCAATTAGAGGTTGATCTCAACCTCTCAGTAAGGTTACTTGGGTTCATTTTTTTTGGCCGTTGATTGTCAACGAGTTCAAAGTAACTGCAAAACGAAAATGAGCAGTGACGACAGTGACTCAGAATTTTCGGTAATTTTTCAATTTTCCTTCATTTTCGCATGTTTTTTGGTTTTATTTCATCTTATTCACAATGATTTCGAAATTTTTGTGGCAATTATTGATCTTTTTTTGAATTTTTCCCGTTATTTCTCGCTAGAAATCATCCCTTCATGGTGTTTTGTTTCATTCAGTTTACAAAAATACACATGTGATGTTGTTGATTTGTTTTGTTTTGTAGCCTTTAAATGAATTCCTCAAAAAATATTCATTTTCTCCTGGAAATAGTTTATGGATATTTTCATTTTTGAAACTTTTTAACGAAAATATCTCCAAAAAATGCATTTTGCAAGTGATTTTCAAGCATCACGTATTTACATTGATCATCATATCATTTCGTGATTGTTACAATAAAAGTTCCGTAATTTCAGTTCATGGACGACAGTTCAGCGAAGAAAAAGAAGGCTCCGGCTGCGAAAAAAACCACCAAGGCTTCAGGTTCAGGCGATAAACCTGCGAAAGCACCGGCAAAACCTCGTGCGAATTCGAAGAAAAAAGAAGGCAACTCATCAATGAATGGTAAAACTCTTTATGATCCACCATCATCACATTCAAAAGAATTCTCGATGAGAACATTTCATTGATTGTCAGATCAATATCAAATGAATTCACTCGTCATTCAATCAAATTTCCTCGTAAATGACATTATTTCTATGAATTCTCGTGCTCGAAAGATTCACTGATCACGTATTGTTACATTGAAATGTTTTGGGGAAATGCTTCACATTTGGTCCAAAACTAAGTGAAATATCATGGAATTTCTTCAAAATTTTCATAAAATGATGCGCTTTTTTCATAGCGAAAATTTTCAATTTTTTTTACAGGACGTGCCGAAAACGGTAGTGCGGCAAAAGAGAATGGTAGTGCTGCGGAAGATCCGTTGGAGATATTCACAGATATTGATAAGCAATCGAAGAACTCGCGGCTGAGTATCGAGCGAATCTATCAGAAGAAGAGTCAACTGGAGCACATTCTGCTCCGACCAGACACCTACATTGGTTCAGTGGAACGAACCGATAAAGCGGTTAGATTTGTTCTGCTGAATCCGTTCTCTTCTTTCATCAGTCCTCAAATTCCTCTTCAGTTTTCTATCTAACCAATGGAGTTTTTCATCAAATTTCCCTATTTTCCTATTCCCGTGCGCTACATTTTTATGGTTTTATCATTGAAGTTATGACGACCATTGAAAATGTAACTCATCAATAGTCGAATGATGAAATTTTGATAGCAAATTAATTTGAATCAGAAAAATCTGTTAATATGAAACAAATTTGCAGCCAATGTGGGTGTACGATGCCGAGCAGGAACGTATCGTACAACGCGACATCACCTACGTACCGGGTCTCTTCAAGATATTCGACGAAATACTCGTGAATGCGGCCGACAATAAGCAAAGAGACCCAAAAATGAATCTCATCAAAGTTACCATCGATAAGTTGGTTCTATTTTATCATTTTGATTACCGTCATATAGCGAACAAAGTGATCATTCAAAGCGATTGTTTAAGATTAAGATTAACATTCTGAATGAATTGAATAAATCGGATTTCTGCTGGATGCGAGAAACTAAAATAGTTTCTGAAAAAGTTGAATATCTTATTGATTAATGCATTGACGGATTAGCAGTGCAGCATTAACCCGAAATGCAGAACCGAGCAGTACACTGACAGTATTAAAGCTGACAATATGAGTGGTGCAATTAGAATAAGACTTTTTTTGTTATTGTTGTTTTTGGTATTGTGATAAGAGAGTATTGAAAGAGAAGAGTGTTGGTTAGTGATGAATGGTTAGACATTTCGGGTAGATAGAATATGTGGGGAGAATAGGTGAAGA